GCGGGGGGCGGCGCGGGGCGGGGCGAAGTTGACCTGGCCGTCGGGGCTCACGGCGGTGGCGAAAAAAGCCACTGCTATTTTTGATGAGGTTCCGATCGCGAATGAGCTCACCCATGCATTTAGCATGCGCGCCATTGTTCAGCGCGTCGCCGGATATCTTGAACGCGCGCGGGAGGCCTCTGGGTAAATGGGGTGGGTGGGGGGGTGGGTGGTGGTGAGTGGGGGGGGGGGGGGGGGGGGGGGGGAGGGGGGCGGGGGGGGGGGGGGGGGGGGGGGGGGGCGGGAGGCGCGGGGCGCCCTCGCCCGCCAGCCCGCGTCATCCCTCTTCTGTCTCATCCCCCTCCCCCATCGGTCTCATCATCCGCCCCCGCCCCCTCGAAGTCAATTTCACGTGCGAAGGCGGGGGCGGGGGCGGGGGGGCGATAAAAGCAAGAACGGGGATCTGCGGAGATGGAGGAGGGGGGTTGGCTTACGAGGGGGGCCGCGATGGGGGGGCAGGAGTGGATGGCGGATGAAGAGGTGGAGGACATTCGACGGATACGGGGACGAGGCGAACATCGGAGACAGAGGAGGGGGGGATGAGACAGAGCTGCGCAGGCGCGGGATGAGGCTGAGACAGATGAGGGAGAGTGAACAATGCGAGGGGTACGGATCGACGGGCAATGGGGAGAGGAATAGCGAGTGGGAGAGGCCGAGGCAGGAGGTCAAACAGATAGGATACGGACATCGTAGGAGGAGGAGAATAGGGGCGAGCGAGGAGGGATAGGCAGAGGAGGGAGAGTTCACGATACGAGGAATGGGACAGAGGAGGGACGAGACAGATGAGGGATGAAGGAACGAGGGGCGATCGCGCGGCCTGACAAGTACTCGTCTACCTGGCTCAGCGCCGTCGCAGACTGGCAGATGCCCTGGACCTGCTGGGCGGTGATCTCCTTGTCGCAGTGCTTCTTGTAGACGCCCATCCTCCACGCGGTCGGCACCTGGCAGAGCATGGTAACCTTGGCAGGGTCGAACGAGGGCGAATCGTTCAACTGCTTCAGCTCCGCCTCGGGCTTGCGCTTGCCCTTCGCAGGCGTGCCCGACAGCAACGCCGGCGGCTTGTGAACTTGCACCCCCATGTGGATGATCTTCTTCGTATCCTGTCGGGGTGGAGGGGGGCCCAATGCGAGGATGAGGAGGCGGGCGAGGAGGGGAGGGGGGATGGGGACGGGGGGCAGGGGGGGGGGAGGGAGAGGGGGGGGAGGAGGAGGGAGGTGTGGGGGGTTGAGAGAGGAGGGGCGGTGGGGGAAGAGGAGGAGCAGTAGGAGAAGGGGGGGGGTGGCGGGGGAGGGGAGGGGGGGGGGGGGGGGGGGGTGCGGAAGAGGAGGAGGAGGGGGAGGAGGGAAAAGAGGATGGGAGGAGGATGGAGGGGGGGCGGACACGAGACGAGGGCGAGGGCGAGGAGGACCATCGGGGAGGTTGGACCGTGGGAAAAGGGGGAGGGGAAACAATATCGAACCGAAGCCCGCCCTGCGCCACCTCCCTGCTCGCCGCGCCCTCCATATCCCATCACGCCCAGAACTCCTGACCACTCCACCCGTCTCCCCCTGCTTCCCCCCGTCCCCCTTTTTCCCTGACAGTTATCCCCCGCGGGGTCCTTCAGCATCTCCAACGCTATGTTCTTCACCTGCGCCACCTGCTGAACTCACCTCGACGGGTTGGCACCACACCCTGTCTACTCCTCCGGAATATCCCTCCCCTCCTCGCCGCTACTTCCCCCCCCCCCCCCCCCTCCTCCCTCATCCCCTCGCCTCGCCCGAACAGTTTGAACATCTGTCCTGCTCCAGCAGCAGAGCGGCCAGAATGCGAGCCTCCTGGGCGACCTGCTTCTTCTTCGGAGCCATGGCTGCGAAGACCCCCGAGCGCGCTAGCAGGCAGTGCGGTGTGTGTGTGTGTGTGTGTGTGTGTGTGTGTGTGTGTGTGTGTGTGTGTGTGTTGTGTGTGTGTGTGTGTGTGTGTGTGTGTGTGTGTGTGTGTGTGTGTGTGTGTGTGTGTGTGGTTGTGTGTGTGGTGTGTGTGTGTGTGTGTGTGTGTGTGTGTGTGTGTGTGTGTGTGTGGTGTGTGTTGGTGTGTGTGGTGTGGTGGTGTGGTGCGTGCGTGCGTGCGTGCGTGCGTGCGTGCGTGTGTGTGTGTGTGTGTGTGTGTGTGTGTGTGTGTGTGTGTGTGTGTGGGGGGGGGGGGGGCGCGAGGATGACGAGGTTGATAAGGGCCGACGTGGCAGCAGAGCAGGGGGGGCCGAGAATGACGATGTTAAGAAGGGTGGAAAAGAGGAAATTGTGTGATTTCAAAGGAGAAGGCGAGGGAAGTGGGGAAGGCGGAGGGGGAGGAAGGGGGACTTTTGTCGGAATCGCGAATTACGCGTGTTTTAACCCGCCCCCCGCCTTCACCGAATCGCGCGGACACAACTCGCGCGCGCGTCCCCCGAGGGACCCGCGACCCCTTTGAGGGGCTCACGACCCCCCAAAAAGCCCCCTGAGGGGCCTACCGACCCCCCCGCGGTGTGAGTGGGGGTGGGGGTGGATTGTCTGGTTATGAGCTGCCTGTGCCACTGGGGTCTTCGGTGGAGCTCCCTGTGGGGCCACGAACCGTGTGAGCGGTGTGCCAAAATAGGTGGCGATCCCCGCGTGCGGCCTGTGCCACTGGGGACATCGGTGCAGCTCCCTGCGGGGCCACGAACCGTGTGAGGAGTTTGCCAAAATCGATGGCGGTCCCCGTATGCGGACTGTGCCACTGGGGCCTTCGGTTGAGCTCCCTGTGGGGCCACGAACCGTGTGAGGGACGTGCGGTGCGGTCCCCGCATGCGGCCTGTGTCACTGGGGCCTTCGGTGGAACTCCCTGTGGGGCCACGAACCGTGCGAAAGGTGTGTCACAATGGGTGGCGGTCCCCGCATGCTGCCTGTGCCACTGGGGCCTTCGGTGGAGTTCCCTGTGGGGCCACGAACCACGTGATGGGCGTGCCAAAATGGGTGCGGTCCCCGTATGCGGCCTGTGCCACTGGGGCCTTCGGTGGAGCTCCCTGCGGGGCCACGAACCGTGTGAGGGGTTAGCCAAAATGGGTGGGATGATGGTGATGATGACGATGAGGAGGAGGAGGAAGGGGAGGAGGAGTGAGTAGGTGACGCGGGGCGCTGTCTCTTCAAAACGAAGACCAACACCATATGATGGTTGGGAAATACAACTCAAAACATCCCGGTGAAGTGAATGCCGATGCTCATGGACAGATGTTCCCTGGGGGACCCTCCCCGCCAACCTCCCCAGGAGGAACGGGCGTGAAAAAGTATCGAATACGGACCCTCCTGGGAGCCCCCCTGCAGGTTTCGTCAGGAGCATCAGTCGCCAGGAGCCCATCGCAGGAGCCGACCCCCAGGCGCCCAGGGGGAGCGGGGAACAAGATGTAGGAGGAAAGAGGGAAAGGGATTGAGGAAGGATCGGGAACGGATTAACTACGACATCCCGCGGGACCTCGTGCCCGGTGCCCGAGGAATACGAGCGCGACAAGCTCGGAAGCGACTACGGGTACGGCTCCTGCGCCGACCGCGCGGACCCCGAGGGCGACCCATGAGTGAGCAAGGCTGCGTCGCCGCCGATCGCTCGCAAGACCGGGTCGACTGATCTCTAAAAAACTTCAGAAAAATTCAGGAAGCGACCCATCTCCTCTGCGGAGGCGCGCGAAACCTGCCCGAACACTAATCGGAGGGGCAAGGGGGGGGGGCAGCACAACGGGCGGCCAGGGAGTTCGCCCCCGAAGCGTTGGGCAGCATGACCGACAAACTCCTCCTTCCCCCCTCCCCCCAGTGCTTCAGGACCCCGAACCGGTCGGGTCCCAATCGGCCAGTACCACCACCACTAGCACCACCACCACCAGTACCACCACCACCAGCACCACCATCACCAGTACCACCACCAGCAGTACCACCACCACCAGTACCACCACCACCAATACCACCACGTACCGAGGATGGGGCTCAGCCAGATTTGAACGCCCACCACGGTCCACGGTCCAGCTTGCATACGGCGGGCCCTGCGCTTGCCCCCCCCCCCCCCCCACACGCTGGGCTCGCCGCCGCGCGAAACAGCACGCCAGAGAGACCGCGCCAAGCTCGGTGCGGCTCGCGTGCTGCTTGTCGCTGCGCTTTTTGGTCCGCAGCTCGTGCTCGAAGTTCGTCGCGCGCCAGCGGGTGGGACTCGTGACAGCAAGGGTGGGGTGCCTGGAGGGCCGCGCGCCTCCTCTTGGAGTGCCCCTCCCGACCAGCCAGGCCTGGTCGTGCCCATCCTGCGGGGCTCGGGGGGCTCAACTCCCGCGCGGCTCCGAGGTAACCTGCGAGCGGCCTCGGCCAGGCCCAGCGCCGCTCCCTCGGGGCCTGGCGCCCTCGAGAGGGGCATCGCCGCCGCGGGCGCGCTCGAGAAGCCGGCCTGGCACCGCGGCCCTTGGGGCACCGGCGTCCGACCTTCTGGGAAGTTGCAGAGACGGCACTCTGCGCACAGGCGTCGCGCGGGGCCTCCCAACGCGATCGCTGCGGGGAGGGCTGGGGCCCGGGCTGGGGGCCCCCCAGGATTGGTGGTCCCGTGGCATACCATGCTGACTGAGCCTGGGTGAAGCTATGCAAGGGCCGGCGAGCCCCCTTTTTTGAGCAGCCTTCCCTTGGATCTGCCCCAGCCCTGGGCCCTGGGTCCCGGGGAGGCTCCGAACCAGAGGGCCCCCAGCCCTTCCTGCCCCCGGGCCTTTCGTTCACATGGCAGGAATCCTGCCATGTGAACGCCGCAGAGCAGGCGCGGAGCAGGCACGTCGGCGACCGGGGGAGGGGGGGGTAGGGAAGAGAGGGGCAGGGGAGCACTGGGCGACCTGGGGGATGAGGATTCCGGGAGAGGGATGCGGCCGCGGGGGCAGGGAGAGCGGGGAAGGAAACAGGCAGAGAGGGGTGGGGCCGCGGGCCGCGGGCCGCGGGGCTGGCCCGGCGCCCTCAGAGGCCCAGGCGCTCCCTCTCCCTCGCAAGGAGGACGAAAGTGTACACCACCGCCAGGCCTACATCCTTCCGTCCGCCTCCTATTCATTCTCCCTCCTCCCCACCTCCTACCTCCTGCGCTTCCACAGACACACTCTGGGCTGAGATCCTGGTGGACAATGCCTCCTGGTCTAGCCTGGAGCAATTTCCATCAGAACCGGGGCCACGGTCACAAATGCGTGTAGATACCCCTGCGGTGGTGTACAATTTCCCACCCCCGACCTCATCAGGAAGCGGAAGGCGCGCGTGGCCTCCTCGAGCGCAGCATTGCCGGCGGCCGCATCACCTGCTGGCGCAAGCGGCAAGCTGGCAGATGGAAATATACGAGAGTGTGGGATGAGCCAGGGGAGGGAGACGGGAAGAGGAGGATCGAGGAGGAAGGCGGAGGAGGGAGGAGGGAGGCGGAGGGAGGCGTTAGGGGGGTAAATGAAAGATGGGCATAGAGGAGGGAGGAGGGAAGAGGGGACGAGAGGAAGAGAAGCTTGGGCAGGGGGGCATGGGCGACGGGGAGGGAGTGAGGGGAGGGGAGAGAGGCAGTGAGCACACCTCGTGTGGCCAGGGGGTGCCGCTGGCACGACCCTGGCCTGGCCGTGAAAGTGCTGGCCTGGACCAGGCGCGCCGGGAGCGCGGCCTCGCCCCGACCGTCGCCCATCCCCCTACCCCTCACCACCACTGGCGGCGCGGCGGGGGCGGCAGACGACGACGTCGACCACGACCGCCACCGACGACCACCATCGACGAATCGACAACCAGCACGGACGACGACAATCATCACCATCGACGACGACGACGATGGTACTAGCATCGGCGATGACGACGGCGGCAGCAAGAACCCCCTTGAATTCCAAGCCCCCCTGGGGCCTTAAACCTTCCGAATTCCATCCTTCACCCGCCTCGTTCCCTTCCCCTCCTCCTCAATTACTCCCTCCCCCCTCCGATCCCTCCGATCCCTCCCTCCACACACGCCCGCCCCCGCCCGCAGCGGCCCGCGCCTCCGCGGGCCGCCTTGTCGGGGTGCCACCTGAGCAACAACTGCTTCAGCACCCTGCGCTGGGCCTCCGGCCCGCTCGCCTGGCGGGGGGGCGCGATGCCCGACGGCCTCCGCCTGCACCCGCGGGCCACCCTGCCGCCGGCCCTGACGCCCCAGCGTTTCCGCCCCGCCCCAGGCATCAGAACCCACACGGATCGATACAAGCGAGTGACACGACGACATGGTGTCCAGAGCTCCAGCCGTGCCTTGTTTCACTACGCAGTGCATCTGTCTACAACGTCGGATCTCAGGGGCAGCATGAGACAGCAGATACTCGCAAGTCGAGCGGATCCTTTCGTCGTGTAGCGCGTCTCTTGCCGTCGTCCACTTGCGAACAGTCGCCTTGAGGATTGTTGCATGCGGCCGCCGGCTCAGATGCCAGTTCCCGAGTACGGGTCGTACTTACGCGTCCTGCGTGCGATTGTTTCTGAAGAGCCCGGCGCCGCAAGGCCAAGCTGTTCTCACACAACGCGATTTGCCTCTGAAGCAAACGCCGAATGATGTGAAACGACTCCAGAAAAATCGAATCCCCCTTTGCATCCGAGTCCTGACTGAACTGACCTGGATCTTAAGCTCGAACTGCCTGAGCACATAATAGCTGCCCCAGAGCTACTTGACAGGGGGACATGCCAGGAGGACGCGCCGCGGGACGTCCCAAGGGACGCGCCAGGCGACCCGCCAAGGGACGTGCCACGAAGACGCACCGCGGGACGTGCCAAGGGGACGCTCTACGGAACGTGCCAATGGACGTGCCACGGGACGTGCCAAGGGACGCGCCGCTCGACGTGCCAGGGGGACTCGCCATGGGACGCGCCACGGAACGTGCCAATGAACGTGCCAAGTTGCAAAACTGAATGTACCGATCTTGATGTACCGTGCTGAAGGCTGTGCTGTGCAGCGCCGTGCTGAATTGCGATGTGCCATGCCACGATTGCGCTCTATAGCGTTGTGGATCGAGTCCTCCTTTGCATCCGAGTCCTGGCCGAACTGATCTGGATCTTAAGCTCGAGCTGCCTGAGCACATAGTAGCTGCCCCTGAGCTCATTGACAGGGGGACATGCCAGGAGGACGCGCCGCGAAACGTCCCAAGGGATGCGCCAGGCGACGTGCCAGGAGACGTGCCATGGGGACGCACTGCGGGACGTGCCATGGGGACGCGATATGGAACGTGCCTGGGACAAGCGTTTTGCTCGAGACATCCTGCCCAAATCCTTATGCTAGACATCCGCCTGGGCGACCTGGACACATGCTAGACATCCGCCCTGGCAACCTGGACACGTGCAAACAAACGTCTCGATCGAGACTTCCTCAACACATCCTCATGCTAGACATCCACTTGGGCGACCTGTACGCGTGAAAACCAGCGTCTCGCTCGAGACATCCTCAACAAACCCTCGTATCAGACATCTGCCTGGGCAACCCGGACACGTGAAACCAAGCGTCTCGCTCGAGACATACTCAAGACCTGGGCGTGTGAAAACGAGCATTTCACTTCAGAGATCCTCCGAATGCTGGTCCCCAGGAGAGGGCAATCTATAACACAAAACAAGCGTTTCGCTCGAGACATCCTCGACAAGTTCTTCAACACAAGCGTTTCGTTCGGGACATCCTCAAAAATAATTCCGCCGGCCGTCTTCGACCTCGTTAATTATCGCAGAGTGGTTCCGCTGGCCCTCTAGCCATCGAGGCCGGGTAACCAACTAAAAGAGAACCCTGGGCCCACGCCCTTTCTGGAAACTGTTGCGTTCATTCCCAACCATGCCCTGATGTGCGTGCGCCCTGCGTATGAAGCTTGTGCTATACTGTGATAACAATTGTGCCATGCTTGTCCCCGGCAGTTATGCCATGCGTGCGACGTCCCACTGCCACGCAACAACTGAGAAGAAACCTCCTATAGCCAATCCACTTGCCCTGCTCCCTCCCTCCCGCTGTCTTCTCTCTCCCCTTCCCTTCCAGATGGCAATCATGTGGGCGCTCACGGTGTGGGAGGATCTGGAAGTGCTCATGCAGGCGGCGGAGCGGAAAGCTGCGCAGGCCTCGGACCCCTGGCTCGCGGCCTCGACGCCTGACGACGCTGCTCTCCGCACTATGAGGCTCTGTCTAGAACTTCGATCGGAGATAAAACACGTGCACAAACATCTACTGCTGGGCGTCCGCTTGGATTTCTCGGATCGGCGCTGGCCCCCCCTCCATGGCGCGAGGAGCGCGCCAAGAAGGCGCCTCAGGCGCCGCCAGAAGGCTCCAGCAGCACCGATCCGAGAAATCCGCGCGGACGTCTGAAAGTTCGTGTTGGTACTGTGATCTAGTCTCCGATTCGAGTAAGGGAACGGTTCTCGTGTCGAGCGAGATGGTGCGAAGGGTTGGGCCGCGTCAGATCCAGGCAATGGTGTGCCAAGGCGCGGTGAGAGCTTCTGATCGCCTGACCGCTGGCAAAGCACTGCCGCGGGACAAAGGCACGGCATCAGCAGCCAGACAAAGGCAACGGCAACGGCAGCGGGACAAAGGCACGGCAGTACCGTGCCTTCTCGTGTTTTGGTCGCTGCTGCGCAGGCTGTTCCGGGGCCGCACTGACTTGACGCGTGGAGGCCGCGACGCCAACTTCCTCTGGCCACTGGCGCGGCTCCACGCGCATGAGGTAATCGCCAACATGCCGATTATGCGTTGCGGCAGTTGGCTTGTTACACCAACGCTGTTTAGAGAGCCACCCACGGCCAACTGCAACGCGACCTCGCGCCGCGAGGACTTCAAGAGCGAGGCAGCGCGAGTGGGCACTCGGAACCCGGCGGCGGCTGAGCGGCTCTGCCTGGGGGTGCTGTTCAGCGCCTCGAGCCCCGACGTGCCAATGCACTGGGTGAATCTTGCCAAGCTCAGTCCCGCTCTCGGGGTTCCTTTTCGTGGATGGCAGCGCCTCAGACAGGAAACTCTGGACGCTACAAATGGCTGGGTGGGCAGTGGTGGAAAGTCGACCCAATTCGGCGCCCTGGCGGCGGCGGCTGCCCCATGTCAGACGGAGCCCGACGCAGAGCCCACGGAGCTCTACCTGGACTGCGCCATCGAGCCCATGGATCGAGCTCTACCTGGTTACACTTCGTCACCATCGAGCCCATGGAGCTCTACCTGGACTGCGCCAACGAGCTGCGGAGCTGCGGCGCGGGCGATCCGCAGCCTCACTTGTGGGGACGGGGGACGTCTGCGGGGCATTCAATTCACTCCAGAAGACCTGGCGGCGCACAAGACCCTCGAGCACACCACTGCCGCTGACGTGGACGCAGGGCGATCTACGCATCCGGAGGGGCGGGCCAGAAGCGACGCGGACGAATTGTCCAAGGCTGGGGCCCGCTGCCACCAGTTCTCCACCGAGGACGAGGCGCTCTGGCATGGGCTATCCGACCTCGAGCATGAATGCGCTCGCTGGTGCGCGGAGCTGGCTGGGCACATAGCCGACGCCCGGCTCGTCGACCGCGATTCTGTTCTGCACTCGACGCAGGAGGCGCAGGCTGGAGCGGCGGCGGCGGCAGCCGGGCCGCCCCCCACAGGCGTGGCAGCTGGCGCGGCCAGTCCAGCCTCAGGAGGCGGCCCCCGTGCCCGCGCAGACGTGCGCCAAGAATGGGCTGGGCGCCCCCCAGGCCCGGGGCAGAAGTGCTCAAGCATGACTCCATCTAGAGCCGCCCGTTCGCGGTGACGAAGCGCGCTCGGGGCCATAATCTGCTCCAGCGCGTGGCGCAGCAGGAGCCAGGATAACTGCTCGTCTTCTGCTTGCGCTGCGATGCTCGGGGGGCAGGACTGGACGAGTGAGTGCGCAAGAGAGGCCGCCAGGCGGCCGCCGCTGCGGACATCCATTCGGCTCTGGAGTCAGAAGCCGACAGCAACGACGACGACGAATGCGGCGTCTGAGGGGGCTCGGCATCTGAGACTCGTTGCCCCTCTGGGGGCCACACCACACACACACACACACGCGATGAGGCAAGGAAGTCAAGCACAACGTACGGTCCCCGTGCGCGCCGGCCTTAGAACAGCGCTGCACTATACGCAATCCGGGCGTGATGGAAAGTGAGGACGAGAGGCGTGACCGATCCGACCACCAGGGGAAGGAATGGAACTCACACGGCTACAAGCGACAGTGAGGACAACGACGAGGGAGTTAGCACGCGCGCACTCAGGGCGCGAGCGGGTTACTGCCGCGGACGTAGCGTAAGAGAGGTGAGCGGAAAGGGGCGGAAACTTACATGATCGACCCACGATCCCGGAAAGGAAAATAGACATGTAAGGCATGGCAACGTTTCAAAGACACCTGATTGGGCGACGGGCAAACGCAATGCTGAATGTACCGATCTTCATGTACCGTGCCGAGGGCTGTGCTGTGCAGCGCTGTGCTGAACTGCGATGTGCCATGCCGCGATTGTGCTCTATAGTGTTGTAGATCGAGCCCTTCTTTGCATCCGAGTCCTGACCGAGCTGATCTGGATCTTAAGCTCGAGCTGCCTCAGCACACAGTAGCTGCCCCAGAGCTACTTGACAGGGGAACATGCCAGCGCGCCGCGCGACGTGCCAGGGGGACTCGCCACGGAACGTGCCAAGTTGCAATGCTGAGTGTATCGATCTTGATGGACCGTGCCGAGGGCTGTGCTGTGCTGCGCTGTGCTGAACTGCGATGTGCCATGCCGCGATTGTGCTCTATAGCGTTGTAGATCGAGTCCTCCTTTGCATTCGAGTCCTGACCGAACTGATCTGGATCTTAAGCTCGAGCTGCCTCACCACATAGTAGCTGCCCCTGTGCTAATTGACAAGGGAACATGCCAGGAGGGCGCACCGCGCAACGTCCCAAAGGACGCGCCAAGCGACGTGCCAGGGGACGTGCCACGAAGACGCACCGCGGGACGTGCCGAGGGGACGCGCTACGGAACCTTAAAATGCGTGGTCCTTGCTCGGGGCAACCATGTAAGATATCCCCCTGGATGGCCTGGACACCTAAAAACACATGGTGCCAGCTCGGGAAATCATGCTATATACACCCCTTAACAGCCTGGACTGGTTACAACACGTGGTCCTTGCCCAGGACAATCATGTTAGATACCCCCCTGGGTGGCCTGGATACGTAACAACACGTGGCTCAAGCTCGGGACAACCATGTTAGATATCCCCCTGGGTGGCCTGGATCGGGACCACTATGTTAGGTACCCCCCTGGGTGGCCTGCACACGTAAAAACACGTGGTCAAGCCCACCCAGGGGGGATGTCTAACATGCGGTCGTCTGGAGCGCAGGAGGGCCCAAGAGCGCCCACAGGCGCCTGGAGGCCAACAAGTAAACGAATCGATACCACATACAAATAACTCTCGACGTTCCGTTCCGAGTCCCAGGAAGGATCCAGGAGGCCCATATTAGATACCCCCTGAGTGGCCTGGACACGTGAAACCACGTGGTACAGCTCGGGTCTACCATTTTAGATACCCCCCTGGGTGGCCTGGGCACGTGAAAACACGCGGTTCTAGCTCGGGACCACCATGTTAGATACCCCGTGTGGCCAGGACACGGGAAAACATGTGGTTCCAGCTCGGGACCACCATGTTAGATACCCCCTGGGTAGCCTGGGCACGTGAAAACACGTGGCTCCAGCTCGGGAACACCATGTTAGATACCTCATGGGTGGCTTGGACACGTACAAGCACGCGGTTCCAGCTCAAGACCACCATGTTATATACCACCCTGGGTGGCGTGGACACGTGAAAACACGTGGTTCCAGAGCGGGGCCACCATGTTAGATACACCCTCTGGGCGACCTGGGCACGTGAAAACACGTGGTTCCAGCGCGGGACCACCATCTGAGACACCCCCCGGGTGGCCTCGACAGGTGAAACACATGGTTCCAGCTCGGGACCAACATGTTAGATACCCACCTGGGTGACCTGTACACATGAAAAACACGTGGCTGCAGCGCGGGACCACAATTTTAGATACTCACCTGTGTGGCCAGGACACGGGAAAACGTGGTACCAGCTCGGGACTACCATGTTAGATATCCACCTGGGTGCCCTGGACACGTGAAGCGACACGGTTCCAGCTCGGGAAGAACATGTTAGATACCCCCCTGTGTGGCCAAGGAAATCCTTGAACAACAAACGAATTAGTCGAGACATCCATTAAATTCCTGCGCGCGGGACGCGGCACGCGCGAGGCATCCTCGGAATTCCTGCGAGCGGGACGTGAAAACAAGCATTTCGACTGAGACATCCTCTGAGTTCTGGCCCCCCACGAGGCCCCCGCTCGAGACAGCCCCGAACTCTGCAAAACCAGCGTTTCGCTCGAGACATCCTCGACAAATTCTGAAAAAAGAGGGTTTCGCCGGAGACTTCCTCAAAAATAATTTCGCCGGCCTCCTTCAAATTCGTCTTTTATCGCAAAATAATTCCGCCGGCCTCCTTCAAATCGAAAACGGGGGTAACAATACTAAATGAGAACCCGGGGCCTACGCCCTTTCCGGGAAATGGCGCATGGGCGGATCAAAGACACCACACACACATCCTCTCGCCTCCACTCTCCACTCCCACACCCCAATCCCATCCACCTCCCTCCGTGTCTCCCTGGCCCGCCTTCCCCTGGGCATTCCTGGCTCCTGGCATCTCCCTATCCCGCGGTGCAGACCCCCTCTCTCCCTCTGGGTCTGAACCCCTTCAGTTGCGATTGGCTGGAGCATCCAGGATGTCCAAAGATAACTCGAAGATGATCTAAGATCGCCAAGATGGCCTCCAAGATATCTTCACACGACCTCCCGAGAACTCCAAGAGGCTTTAAGATGGCCACCGAGCCTCCCTAAGGATGCCCTCAAGAGGCCAAAACCATTGAACAACAAAATCTTGGGTTGCCCAATGGTTTGGTATGCTCACCGCGTTGGCTTCGGAAAGTCTTCGGAAATATATTGGATTCCTGGATGCCTCTAGCTGGCCCGAATGCAGCGCAAGACGGCCCGTAGAGGAGCCCAACCGATCCCAACAAGGCCCCCCAAAGAGCCGGCAAGAGAACACCCGATACCTTTTTCCAGGCTCCACGAGGGGGCGGCCAACTAAGGGGCATCCCTTTGTTGGGCTATGACCCCAAAACACCACGAATAGTGGTTCAAGGGGACTTCCCAACGAACCTCAAAGAGAGCACAATCTGGGAAGAGCAATCCAAGCCGAGCTACGTTCCACTACTCTTGACACTGCAACGATACTTATATACATTGAAAGCAACTTGTACGCACGAGGCAAAACACCACGAAACTGAGACCGAACTGAACTGAACGCAGCTGGCGATACGCTAGATCTACTACATGCATGGGCTGACCCCTCCTTTAGTTTGCCTTGTCATCTCTTCGTTTTCGCAAATACATGCTGATGCATACCCTCTGCTTCGTCTCGCGATAACTCGTGCAGGAATTGTTCCTGGATGAAATGGCGGGGGTACGCGAACCGTCTGAGAGTAGCACCTTGGCTCACCTTGGTCAATCTTCCTTGGATGTCTCCTATGTCCTGGTCGACAGTGTCAGTAGACTATGTTGGAGCTCATTGTGTGCAGCAAGGTTCTGGGCGTGGTGGACTGGGCACCACTTCATAGAGGTCGTTGCCAGACGCAGCGGGGCTGCTGTCTGCACGCGAGGGCGGCCAGCCTAAAGGTCAACCAACCAAAGGCGCGAACCGATCGAAGCCGCACGAAAAAGGTGCAAAGGGTTCGCAGGGAGACCCATGTAAGCGCCTGGTGGCCGATGAAGGAACACCAGGACAACCGCACGCGTGACCAAGAAAGAGCATCGCGTCCGAGAAAAATACTCGTCATTCTTCGGCCACCGCCCAGGGCGCGAGTATGAAAAATACCATGGACATCACTAACAAGGACGCTCGGTTGCTACTCCCTCGCGGCCGCGCCTTGGCCGAGGCCAGCGCCGCAGCGATATCCGCCTTCGGGCCAGGCACGGTGGGCCGCAAGGAGGCTGGGAGAGGGGGGGCAGAACAGGAGTAGGCCGGAGGAGGGTGGGAGGGGAGAGAGGGAGGGAGAGAGAGAGGCAGAAAGAGGCCGAGTGAGAGAGAGAGAGAGAGAAAACACAAACCGAAGAAGCGGTGAGAGAGAGAGAGAGAAGGAGAGGAAGGAAGAAAGAGAGAGAGAGAGAGAGGGAGAGGGATGAAGGGAGGGGACGGTGAGAGAGAGGCCGGCATATGAGAGAAGATGAATTCAGGAGCAGGGCGATCATGCGCAGAATGGTGTGAATGAAGCCGCGAACAGGCGCCACATAGCGCGCGGGCGTTGTTTGCGTGACCGTGGCCCACTGACGAACGATTGGGTCGTGCAGGGCACGGTATCTTCGATGGGCCAGACGTATCTCGAAACTAAACGCATAACCGAAAGAGCAGATCACCATCACCAAAGGGAACGAAGACACGATCGCGCGGGAATGAGTCTGGACAAAAAAGTCGAACGTGTTGTTGGTGAACACGGAACATCCCAGGCAGCACGAGAGCTGGGTGTGAATGTAGATCCGCCCACTTAGTCAATTAGATCTGTACCCGCACTCACCCCGAACCCTCAGATCCGTCTGCCACTTTTGAAACTTAGCCGCGGGGGTGATGGCGGGGCCATAATTGAGCCCATGTTTCGGTAGCACGTCCCCCTACCCCAAGCCCGTGGCTGGTCAGCCTTTATGCAGCAACTAATTGGATCTCTGTCGCAAGTACCTCACACTGCGGGCTGGTGAAGTACATATTGCCGCTGGTCTGATTGTGGTAATGGCAATAGTTGCTTGCTAGCATGCGCATGCGCCGATGGTAATGCCACTGAGCATACAACTCTACTAGTAGAAACTGATTGTCCGTCTTCTGCATCAGCCTTGCGCGGGATGACGATGAAGAACTACATCGATTCGCAACACCCCTCTGGTGTTGTTGCCCACTTGCTGAACAAGGTTCTTGTGGTCGAAGCTAACTCCATCCGAAAGAAGGGGAGCAAACACATCCTCACCAATTCTGATGGTCTGGGCCGTTTCGCCTGAGACATCCTCACAACTCTCAATTATGAACTGTCCGGGTTTGGCCGTTTCAACCGAGACATCCTCTAAAATCTGGCCTCCGGCACCCCGCGAGAGAGGTGGTCCGGGCCATTTCGCTTGAGACATCCTCGCAAGTCTAAGCCCCGAGATGCCGTGCGAGGTGGTGAAGCTCGCTTCGTCTGAGACATCCTCCCGATTCTAAGCTCCGAGACGCCGCGCGTGAGGTGGTTCAGCGCTTTTCGCCTGCGACATCCTCACTACGATGCGCTCCGAGCTGCCGCGCGCGAGGTGGTCCGGCGCGTTTCGCTTTAAACATCCTCGCAACTCGGAGCTCCGAGCTGCCACTCTAGAGGTTGTCTGGCGTTTTTCGCCTGAAACATCCGCGCACCCCTCAGCTCCGAGATGCTGCTCGAGAGGTGGTCCAGCCCGATTCGATTGAGACAGTCCAGCAACTCTGAGCTCTGAGAAAGTGCGTGCAAGGGTACGTGGCCCAGTTCGCTTGAAATCCGCCGATCCGACGTGTAAGTTTCTGCGAGCGCAAGCTTGAGCTCGCTCAAGCTTCGCTCTGCAAAGGGGGGCGGGACGTATTTTCCGACGAATTAGATGAACGCACGGAGGTGGGGTCGTTCCCGCTCCCGGCCCGACCCCGCTCCCGGCTCCTGGCCCCCGCTCCCAGCCCCGGCCATTGGCCCCGGCACAGGTCCAGCTCCAGACACACACACACATACACACACTCACACACACACACACACACACACACACACACACACACACACACACACACACACACACACGCGCGCTGCGGCTACCGTGTGCGCTTTCACCCTGCGAGAAACGCGCTGTGCGCGTGGCACGCGGAGACAAACGATGGAGAAAGGAGAGAGCAGGAATATGGGAAGCAAGGAGCTGGAGCACTCCGCCTGCAGCCCCCCTTCCGCTCCTCCTCCTCCGCCTCCTCTCTCCTCCCTCCTCCTCCTCCTCCTCCTCCTCCTCCTCCCTCCCCCTCCTCCCCTCCTCCCTCCTCCTCCTCCTCCTCCTCCTCCTCCTCCCCTCTTGGGGAACCCCTTGGGGCACCCAACGGGCCCCCCCTCCCTCAGATGTGCCAAAGAGGGTGGCCAGGAAGAGGGAGGGGACGCGCCAATGGCTCAGGCATGTGCCCGGACGAGGGGTGCCTAGGAAACGCGATGAAAAAAAAAGATTGGGCCATGATACTTCGTGATGCCTCGTGAACCCCGGCCATGACATCCGCCCCCCCAGTACTGGCGCGGTCCTCACCCCCCTCTTGGACGCACCCCCACCCCGTCCCGATCCCCGCCCTCGCTCGCAGCTCGGCCGGCGCCGCCTCCGGGTATTCGAGGGCGCGCCCCGCGTCGCCTCCAGAGCAACAGCTCGGGTCGGCGCCGAATCTGCGGGCGGGCGAGGGCACGACCGATCCGCGGCCACGGGGGGCGGGCGCGAGCCCACCAGCGGAGGAGGCGGAGGAGCCACTGCTGGAGCTCTGAGGAGACTCCCGAGAGGCTCTTTTGCAGACTCCGCTGGGCTCCCTCGATGGCGCCCCCGGGTCATCCTCTGTCTCGTTCTCGCGAATGCGCCCGTGGAAATCCTCAAATGGTCGACGGGCCCGCTCATCTTGTAGCAAGTCCCGCACGTCTCCAAGTCATATCGGACATTTGACCAGGGGGCGGGCCCTGGTCTGATGGTGGATGTGTTTCTCCACGTTCGGCTAGGTCCACTGGCCGCAGTTTCACTCGCCAGCCGCCCACGCATGGCAACAGTAGCTGCAAAAGGGCCTGCCGCGCGGCTCCACTGGAGGCACTTGGCTGTCAAAACCTTAGACAGGCTCGAGGTGCACAAGTCTGCACGAGGTGGGCACCAAACGGCCGAGCGCCAGTATCGGAAATCATTCAAACTGGTATCTGGCAAACGCAAGCGTCAACCTGAACCTGAACTTGCGCGGCGGGCCAGCCGATCCCCGAGGGGCACTGCCCGTGAGATCGACTGTGATCATGAGTCAGGAACCCACGGTCCACGGGGGCGGCCGACCAATCCAAATTTCATGCGCCGACCGTTCCCCCTAGTGGCGAGCAAAGCACCATGAACGCTTTGACTGGGAACCATATACGAGCTCGTATGCACTCTGGGAGGCCTATCGCACCAAGTAGGTGGCCTGGGCGTAGGCGGTAATGCTGGGCATTGCGTGGTATTGTTTCGGGTTGCATTATCTTGCTTGGCGCTGCACTGTTCCCAACAATCCTGTTGTGTCCTCGGTTTGAAAAAAGGAGGGGGGCAAAAACAACAACAACAACACCAACAACAACAAAACGCCCCGCGTCCTCCACCTCGTTTTCCTCATTTTCCTCCTCATCTCTCCTCCTCTCCCCTCTCCCCCCCTCCTCTTCCCTCTTCTCCTGCGTGCCTCCGTTCTCCGCATGTCAAACAGTTCGGCCCACCCCTCACACGCTTCGTGGTCCCATAGAGAATCCACCGAAGTCACAATTGCGACGTTCGCATACGTCCGCCACACCACGTACAGCGTTTCGTGGCCCCATTGGGAATTTCACCGGACGCCCCAATAACGACGTTCGCGCGCGTCCGCCCCACCCACAAGAGCGCTTCGTGGCCCCATGGGCAGCGCCACAGAAGGCCCCACTGGCGACGTTAGCATGCGTCCGCGCCACCCAATACAGCGCTTCGTGGCTCCATAGGGAACTCCACCGAAGGCCACACTGGTGACGTTAATATGCATCCGCCCCACCCACTACGGCGCTTCGTGGCCGCACAGGGGGGCTCCGGCGGAAACCCCAATCGCGACGTTCGCCTCCGTCCGCCCCACCCATTAAACCGTGCCGTGGCCCCGCAGGGAGCTCCACCGCAGGATTCATTGGCGACGTTCGCATGCGTCCGCCCCGCCCAATACAGCACTCCGTGGGCCCATAATGAAACCCACCGAATGGCAGCCGTCGCGTGCGCCCGCCCCACCTGGTACAGCGTTCCGTGGCACTGGCGACGTTCCCATGCGTTCGGAACCGCCCGGGTCGGCGAACCCCTTCACACACTTCGTGGCCCCCTATAGGGAGCTCCAGCTCATCGAATCCCCTGTTGAGAGGTTGTGTGCGTCCGCCACGCCCACTACAGCGCTTCGTGGCCCCAGAAGGAGCTCAGCGCAGGCCCCAGTGGCGACTGTCGCATGCGCCCGCCCCACCCTGCACAGCGGTTCGTGACCCCATTGGGGGCCCCACCGACAGCCACAACGGCGACTGCGTCCACCCAACCCAGTACAGCGCTTCATGGCCCCTGATGGAACCCCACCGCAGGCCTCACTTGCGACGTTCGTATACGTCCACCCCACCCAGAACAGCGCTTCGTGGCACCATTGGCAGCTTCACCAAAAGCCCTAGTGGCGACGTTTGCATGCGTTTGTGACACCAGATGGCCTTAGACAGCCGAGGATCAATTCAGCAATCTGATATATATATATATATATAACGAACGAAGAGTAGTTTTCCGAGATAGCCTAAAGAAGCTTCTACTTGGCTCCCGGAGCGACGGGAACGCGCGCGCGGGATGGGCAACGTCGAACCCGCGGCGACGATGCGCCGAATCAAGCCACGGCCCCGCGCGCCAGTAAATCAACGAGGGATGCCGCGCGGGCTCTGCACGCGACGCCACGGCGATGGTCGCGGCGCGGTTTTGCACGCGGCACACCCCAATGCCTCTTTCACATTTCCCTCCTCAACCCCTTCACCAGCCTTCCCCTTCCTCGTCTCGGCCCCTCCTCCTCCTCATCCTCCTCTTTCGCCCGACCTCCCCCCCTTCTACCCGTCGCGCGCCCATCTCGCCGTGCCGCGGCGGCGCCTTCTCCTGCCGCGAAGCCCTCGCCCGCCGCTCCCGCCCCTTCCCCTTCGCCGTCGTTGTCTTCCTCCGCCGCCCCCGCGCCCTCCCCCTCCTGCTCGTTGCTCGCCGATCCCCCCCCCTTCCCCCGTCCTCCTCCTCCTCCTCCTCCTCCTCCTCCTCCTCCTCCTCCTCCACCCCTCCTCCTCCTCCCCATCCCCCCCCCCCTCTTCGACCCCCCCTCCCCAGCCCATCGCTCGCGCGGGGCCCTGCCGCGCCGGCGCGCGTCGCGCATTCGGGCCCAGCCGCGCCGGAGCGTTCCAACGTCGGCCTGGCCGCGCCGGCGCGCCATTGTTTATTTGGGCCCCGCGCCGCGCCGGCGCGTTTTTTGAAAATCCAAGCCGGCCGCGCCGGCCCCGCGGGAGCTTAAATTTAAGATCCCGCGTTTGTTGTGTTTTCTATAAAACATTGCGCGCGAACATACGCGAACAATATAGCCATTTTTCTTGGGAGACGCGCGAGCCCTCGTTTGCGACGTGGGATAACTGAGCCAGCTTCGAGATGAGCATGCCAGAACCATGCCCCGAAGGACACGTGCGTCGTTACGTTGTCTCTTCGGACAGACACAGCAGCATTTCGGAGTCGACCTCCCGCGCCGAATGCTGCATCGAAGCTCGGTTGCATAGTTTTTGCGCCGTCGAGGCGAGAAGATTGAGCTACTCACTTCGGGCCCTTTACTTCCACTTTTTTTTCGCTGTCGAGGTTGTTTCCAGGTCCCAAGGAGGTCGAACGACTCGCCTTGATAAGATCTGGCCCCTCGCATTTCCGCCTCCGAGGCCTTCCCAAGTCTAGTCGTCAGCTTGGGCTTGGGCCCAGATTGTAGAAACACTTCCGCCCCAGGCGCAGGGAATTTCAACCGTCCTGGGTTGGGCCATCCAGGCCCGGGCGCGTAGTTTTCTCGCCCAGTCGGAGCGCTACAATTTGCGGGAGCGGGCCCTCCGAGGCGTTAGATGGGCGCCGCGGGGCATGCTCAGTCCCGCAAAATGGACCCGCGGCGATTTTCAGGGCGCGCGGCACTTTGCCCAGCAGTGCCCGCCTCCTTTGGCGAGATCGCGGCGCGCGCTTCGCCGCAACCATTGGTTGCCAGCGGGGCGCAGACCCCCCCAAAAAAACTCGTGCTCCTTCCCCCCTCCTCTTCTTCCCTCCTCTCGTTTCTGTTCTGCCTCTTCCCTCGCCCATCGTCCCTCGATTCATCCTCCTCTTCCTTGTGCCCCTCCTCATCCATTATCCTTCCCTCCTCCTCCTCCCTCCCCAATTTGGAGTTGGCATTTGCTTTGCGCGCTCGCTGCGTCCTCTCGTGAGTATTTGGGGGCGCCCACGTCGTTTGAGTGCCGGGTGGCACATCGGATCCAGATGCCCTCTTTTGAGCACGCACCATTCGTTTTAGCACCCCCCCATCGCTTGAACCCCACATCGTTTGAACGCAAGTCAGAGCGGGATGCCAGAATATGGAGCGCGCCCTCTGTCATTGCAGCGTTTTCCTTTACTTGCAAGCTACTTGTAATTCAAGAGGAGGCGAGGGGGGCAAGGCAGGGACGGGCGAACGCCGTCGGCGGTCCGCGCTACACTTGCTCTTGTGCGCTACGCATAAGAGAAGTCGGCTTGCGGGGGGGGGTCGGGCGCGCGGGGGGCGGGCGGAGGCGTGGCCGGCGCCCAGCGCCCCCGGGGGGCTCCATGTTGGATTTCCCAGGCTGCGCCAAGCGCGCACGCGTTACTTGCCCGCGCGCCCACATTCGCGCAAGCGCATCCTAAGGAACTACGATTTGGATCGGAAGCGGGCGACAACGGGCATGGGGCGCCTGTCAAGGCTGCTTCTGGGAGCGATTGCTGCTGGCTCGGCACTCGCGATATGCATGTAACGACTTTTGGAAGACGGGTGCTGCGCCGCCCAATCCAACGCGGCAATGGCGCGGTCCGGGGCGCGCGGCCGTCGCGGCACACGGCGGTCGACGTGGCCGCATGGGGCGCGCGATCGGCCGCGCGGTATTTGCGGGCCATTCGGCCGACGCTGCCGGGTCGCCCTCAAACAGCCCGCCAGGAATACGCAAATGCGCAATGCGCCAGCGCGCCGCCAGGATATCGCCCTGAAAACAACCTGTTCACTCTGGGCGCCGACTGCGCGCCTCGCTGAACCAGCGAAGTCGCGCGGCGCGCCCGCGCCGCGGACCCGCCGCAATGAACTCGCGGGAAAAAGGCCTCTCTCCATGGGTTCTGGCACCGATTCTGGCCCACTTCCCCGTTCTGGCCGATTCTGGTTCCATCGCCGATTCCTCCTTTGATTCCGTATTGATTCCGTGCTGATTCTTTTGATTCCGCTAGAATCAGGGGTCGCAGTTGTGCCGATTCTGTTTTGATTCTGTACTGATTCCGCACTGATTCCTTTGATTCCCCTGTGCCCCGGGGACCATCAGGCCGCGGCCCGAGCCCCCGCCTCGGCGGCATGGTTTTTCCATGAGCGCGGGAGAGTTTTGAGGGGGAGGGGGGCGGGGGGGGAAGCGGAGCGATTTTTGGGGCG